GTTGATCCCTAATAAAATCGATCAAAAGATAACAATGTCTCAGAATATCTGTATCATTTTCTTTTTCAATTTTTGAAGAATATTTTCAAATATTCTATTTAAAACTAAGCAAAAAACGTATAACCTCTACAAAAAATTCTTTCATCAAACCAACACAAAATAAATGCTATTCTCATAAACACTATTTCCAAACAATTCAACTATATAATATAGAACATATTTAACCAAGCTTTCATATAAATTTTTGAAGAGTTTCTTCAAAATACTTTTTTATTATTAGATTAATCAATTGCATTGAAGAAATAATATCTAACTGATTTTTAAATTTAATATGAATATTAAAAATACCATAAAATATCTATAATTTTTATTTAGAATTTTGAATAATTCCTTTTATGTTTTATGATTAGATTTCTTATACAAAATTTTTGTATTATAATTTTTAATTTCACTATTTCGTAATTAGACTACTTACATCAAGCTTTAAAACATTGTTAAATATAAAAAAAATAAGGTTGCAAAAATAAAAAACGGGTCTACTAAAATGCACCATTACACTGGCAATCATAAATAATGCAACACGTGATAATTTTTATAATAAAATATAGTAACTATTGAAATTTTCACTATATAATAAAAATTTTTAGAAAAATTTTTATTATATAGTGAAAATTTCAATAGTTGCTATGTTTTATTATAAAAATTATCACGTGTTGCATTATTTATGATTGCCAGTGTAGTGTTGAACACCATAGGTGGTATATCTCACAAACTTACTAAGTAAATAAGATTTGGGATCCTAATTAAAAATGCTTAAAACCCCCAAAAACATTATATTATGCTAACTAAAATTTAAACTTTTTATATAACTTTACCTTACCCTATAACTGCACCCTAACCCTAAATTTTAGCAAAAAAAAACTTATTAACACTATAAACACAGTGCATTATATATTATCTTATAAAAAAAAACATAAAGCATTATTTTACCAGTAGTATAAAATTTAAAAATACTAAAGATGACACCAATAACTGGAACTAATTGTCCCATCAACTTTAAATTCAAGAAAAAGATTCTATTATCAATAAAAACGGTAGACAAATTTGCAATATTATTGTTGAAAAATCAGCCCTAAAAATAAAACTGCTCAAAAAATAATAAAAGTAAAAATGAAGTATTTGAATTTTTTCAAGTCTTGAAAATTTTAATGATTATTGTTGTTGATTATAACTGTTGAGTTATTCATATTCATTTCTCTAATTAATTCACTTCATGTAATACAATTTTTACTCTATGGTTCATCGTTACTACTTTGAAATATTGACTAGACTCGTATAAACTTGTAACTCATGAATTAAACCAAGAATTATTCGATTGAATTACTTAGTCGAGTTTTGTTTGAGTAATTCAAGTCATGGTAATTAGTTTATTGATAAATTTTATAAATTACAAGTTATAAAAATAAATTACTTCAAATAGCGAGTTACATGAAGCAAATATAATTCAAATTTGTATGTTATAAAAACAAGTATAATTCAATTTATGTGTTATAAAGCAAATATATTAATTGCAAGTTATAAATACAATAAACTGATTTATAATTATATCAACAGATCAACTAGAACTATTCTGTGCTTACAGGCGAGGTGGTTAATTTAAATTTGAAGCCCATTATGAGTACCAGTCATCCATTATAATTTCACAAGTGGAAGTTATACCCTCCTTTCAAAAATATTCCCAGACAAAACTTGGAGTAGATCTACTTTTAGACATATGGGTAGTTGTATTTTGACATTCTTTTCATTACAAGATTTCCCCTGTTCATTAGTTCTGCTTTATGCTTATATTATAATATTGTTTTTAAATCTTTTAAGCATCTTTATTTTTATTAAAAATTTGTGACTGCAATAAATTACGTATGTAGTTTTTAAAGAATTACAATAAGTACATAAAAATTACAACATTATTTATGCAGCTTACAAATTTATTAATGCAAACTATTAGTCATTTTAAACTTCATTATACATTAATAATTAATTTGTGAGTACTCGCGTGTTAAAAAATTTATGATTTGAACTCGAATTATTCGAGTCACAAGTTGACGAGTCCAGTGTTAGAGGCTAAATGGGCGACAACACCAACCAAACAAACACCCAAAAAACACACAAACCACAACCCACACCTCTTGATATACAGTATAACCTCGATATAACGAACCTCAATATACTGAATTTGGTATTATAGCGAAGATTTTTTTAGCTAAAATTTTTTATAACAAAAATACCTCAATATAGCGAATTTTAATTATAAAACCTTGATATACTGTATAACAAAGAAAAAATTTTTTTATTTTAATAAAATTACCTTGATATAACGAATACCTTGATATAACAAAACTTTTGTGTAACTCTATCAATCAAATTTTTATATTGGAACACATTATATAAACTGAATGTTTTATAAATAAATATATATGTTCATTATATCAAGGGATATTATTTGTAAACCGAATATTTTATAAAATTATATATAGATTCATTATAGCAAGGTATCTCAATGGACCAAAACCTTGATATATCGAACCAAACACCCCAGCTCCAGAGCTTCGTTATATCAAGGTTATACTGTACTCAATTGGTAAAGGCGGTTTTGATTTGGCAAGGTAAGGCTAAATCAGGTATATTGTGGGTTTCAAACAATCAATTTTTATTTATTACTCAAACACACTTGATTATTCTTTATTAGAGAGTGAAAGGGCCCATTTTTATACATTTTACATGTGGGAAAAGAACTAAAGAAAAATAGAACTTTTTCTAATCTAAACCCAAACCCCAACATGCCACTTTACGCCATGCCATGCCAGCAGAGCTTTGCCTCCTCCGGCTAAGCTTTTGGCACTGCCCCAAGCCTAAATCGATTCTATCCCAATTCTTTTTTTCTTTGTGGCTTTTTGCCACCATTTCACCACATTTCAGCCATGTCACAGCCACCATTTCCTGGGGCTTTTAGCTTGGGTCTTCGTCACGTTTTTGGGCTTCATGATATCGATTTTTAACGCAGCAGGTTTTGGCGATTTTGCCCCAACACCAGTCACTACTTTGAAAGCAATAGGTGTAGATAATGAATGAACTTATGATATGGCCAAGGCTGAGACAAAATTTTTGCTCAAAGTCCAATAGATTACAAAGAATAATATAATAAATATATATGTAGAAAATTAAATATATACTGGGGAAAGTAACTAGACAGTGACCTTTTTTTTAATCACAGTAATCATTGCAATAATAACTCTGAGAGATCATTATAGTGATTAAAAAAAAGTCACTACCTAGTTACTTTTCTCCCACCCAGTATAGCACTACTAATATTAATATTTATGGGGATCCATTTGCTGTATTAAATATAGTATTATTAATTTTAAATTAAATTTATATATATTAAAAGTTCTGAAGTTGGTTAATTAACAAAAGTTATATTAGCAAATTTAAAATTTGTAATTGAATTTTCTTAAATAAAAAAAGAAAAAGACTAAACAGTCTCTATGCACTTTGCGCCCCCTAATATTTCAAAATTTTATCAGAGTGTAACTAACAAAAAATGGACCTCTTGCAATTTACCCAAACCCTAACTTTTATTTTTATCACAATATTTTCCTTATTTGACTATTAACATGTAAGTAAGTACAAAGTGCATAGGTGTACCGTTCAGATTTTTTCTAAAAAAAAAATTTAAAAATTATAAATAAAATTTGTATTTAAAAAAACTTTATTAAAATTTAACATACGTACATTTTAATTGTGTAAATTTTTAATCGATAACCAGCATCTAATATACCCGGGTGGGCATAAAATTCCTAAACAGAATCTTTTTACTATCTCCACTAATATTAAAAGTTTTTTAATTATTTATTTTGTAATATAACAGAATAATGAAGTAACCAATAACAAAAGGTCTTATTTAGAGAATTTTTACCCACCCAATATAAACAGCACAATCTTATTTTTAGTTTTGTTTACAGAGGAATTAAAAGATAAATGATATTTTCAACAGAATCCAAGAGGTCGGAATTTAGTGATTTGTAAATAACTTGACCAGTATCGGAATTGACAAACCCGCGTTTACAATCTGGACAATCATTAAAAAGTTGGCTTACTAATATCAAATCATTATTAGATAATATTTTAGATTTAATTTTAGCAATTTTAATATGAGATATTTTTTCCAGAACTTCCCATTTTACAGATTTTTGACCAAACCTAAACTTCTTATGATTATCAACGTCAACAACACTATTATAAAATATATATGTAAAAATAATGATGATTTCAAGCTAATAATCAGGCCTACCAAAAAATCAATTACAATTAATTTTTGACATATGTCATACAATTAAATTTAATTAAAATTATCATAAAATTAATTGAAACCCAATTAATGACGAAATAATTGCAATTAATTGCAATTAAATTCAATTTTCTTTCACTGGTGTAACCTGATCCTTTAAACAGCAAAAATTCAAAAATCATATCGTAATAGTGAATATATGATATTAATCTAATTATGTAAAATTGCAATTAATTGACCAATTGTGACTGCGCCATCAATCAATTATGGCGGTTTGCAAAAAGGTATGACCTCATGATTTTCATGATGATGATGCGGAGAATTTTTGAAATTCTAAATAGGGAATCTAAATTTAAGAATCATTAAAAATCTATAAAAATTATGTAATTATTTAATCAGTGATTAATAGTGATCAATATAATAAGCTATTTATGTATTATATAAATATTATTATATTGTTTTCCTCTTCATAATTCTTTATCATATTTCTCTTGAAAAATGGCTGATTTTCAAGAAACAAAATTAAAATATCATTGAGGAACTTGTTTTAGTTGCTAAAAATGCATGTATTGTGGAATTGATTTGCAATAAGCAAAGTGTGATTGCAACTTATCTGAAGTGCCACATAAAAATAATCGGACAGGTGCTATCAAATATGCGTTTACACGAGTATTTGATCCAAATTGGAGTAAAGAAAAAGTAGAATTTATTCATCAAGAAATAGAACACTATAATTATTTATTAAGTATTAAAGAGGCTTTTAATTTTACTTTATGCTCTCAATGCAATAGTGTTTTATTAAGATTATCTACGAAAGCAAAAAAGCTTAATACAACATCAAGTTTCACCCTTGTAAATGATAATAACTATGAAATAGAAACATGTGATCTTACTACTCTAGCAAGTGATGCTTCTGAATCTGAAGAAAAACTTAATTTGAATTTTAATGAAAAAGGATATCATGAAAGAGAATATAATTTTAATGATGATGAGTCTTTATCTGTGATGAAGTCGAATATGAATATAATTATGGTGTTTTTATTAAATCTAAAAATGGAATATCTCTTCCAGCAAAATGGTATATTGCCAAAGTATCTACAGTTGATGAGCTACTTTCTGAAATTCATATAAATATTGAACCTTTAATGGGAATAAACTAGTTGATCCAAATAACTATTGTATTTCATTCAAATCTAAAAAGGCAGCTGAAGCAGGTACCCAACTAGTTAATATTCAAGACTTTAAAAATTTTCAAGTCGATTATCAAAAATACAAATCTAAAAACATCAATATGGCTTTTTTTATTACATTTATTAAATCAAATCTAAAGCGAAAAATAGATGTAAGTACAGTATATTAAGAATTTTTATATTATTTTTATAATATAATAATATAAAATAATTTTAAATATTTATTTAGGAACTTGAGCTCGATAATAATTCAGATAATGATATTGTTACAAATTTAAGAAACAAAAATTCTATTCCTAAAACTTCAAATCTATCATCGTTTGAATTATCAATTGCAAAAAATGTTTTAGAAATTTGCAAAGAAAACCATTGTATAATTCATAATCAACCATGCTTAAATAAAAATGGAGCTGAAGAAAATCATATTGAAATCACTTTCATGATGCTTTCGATTTGGACATCTGAAATTATAAATATAAATTATATACAAATTTTATAATTTATATATATTATAATTAACTTTAATTATACTATTTATAATAAAGAAATGGCATCACCGACAGAACTACTCACACATCCTTTATTCACATATAAATATTTAACAAAAACAAAAACATTTTCATGACTGCAATCTAGTTCTACACAAATTCAACAATCTGACTTAATCTTAATGCAACAATCCAATTCAATACAACAATCCAATTTGATGCAACAATCTAATTCAATGCAACAACCTAATTCAATACAACAATCTAATTTAATACAGCAATTTGATTTGATACAACAACCTAATCCAATGCAATAATTTAATTTGATGCAACAACCTAATTTAATACAACAACCTAATTCAATACAATCACCTAATTTAATACAACAAGCTAATTTAATGCAATAAGCTAATTTAATGCAACAAGCTAGCTTAATACAACAATCTAATTTTACTCAACAATTACTTTTTCCAGGTCAACATTATATGCCAACTTTATTCTATAATCTATTTTCAACATATAATTCCTTTGGAATACCTTTTTCAACACCAATTCAATTATCTTCACAACAGACATTACCTACAATTAAAAGTTTTTTAAAATTTGTAGATAAAAGCGAAAATACTAAAGATTATTATTAGAAATTTTTATCAAAATTTGAGCAACAAAAAATTTCTGTACAACTACTTGCTGAATTATCAAATGAAGATTTTATAAAATGTGATATAGATACTATTGGTGCATGTCAAACACTTAGAAAATATACTGCAAAATATAATATAATTCCTACCTTATCATGCAATAAATTGTAAGTAAATATATATTATTTATAGCCTGCTGCA